ATGCCCTTTTATGTATGCTCGCCGGATGGCGGCAGGGGAAAAACCGTGACCACTGCTGCTGCGACGCTGAAGGCGACGAGAGAAGTGGCGAAGAAATCTGAAGATCCTATGGTGAAAATGCCCGCTTATATAGCCAGATGACACCGCCCATTCTGGCGGGCTATACTGCCATAGGCTCATGCAGCTCCGCTGCCGAGCCATTGGTTCGTTTTTAATTTACTGCACAACCCAATGGCCGTGCAGTTACACTGCGTTATTAAAAAAAGGCTTCAGTCATTGGAGAAAAAGGACTTTTTCCCATAGCGTCTTAGCGACGCAGTACGAGTGAAGTATCGATAGGGAACTAACATTATAACACTATAAACAAGTATTTTAGTTCCTCTCACTGCACGACAAATCAATTCATTGTAACCATATTCAGAACAGAACAGGAATGGAAAACATAAGCATAAAACAAACATGAATTATAGTAGCATTCATTATAAATTATATTTATTATGAACACCAAGCCTTAATGAATTCATTTAAAGTGAAACTGTACATTGCGTACCTTATTCAGCACGAATCTAAATGTGTGTTGATGTTCTTGACATTAATTGTAATATATAATATCAGTCTCCACATATTTCAGATGATAAAAATGACTTGGATTCCTGAAGTTAGAGTAAATGAGTGATGAGGAAACTGGCGGAGGCTGATTGAGTGGAAATGAATGAAACTCATCTGAATCTGCTGACATCTCATCTGTGTCTGATCAGATATTAATTATTCATGAGCAGTAGCGCTGCTTCACTTCACTTATAATTTGATGTTGTTAACTCGTCCACGGCTCTGTTACTGTTTGCTAATGATCATAGAGAACATCCCGAAACCACCCAATCAAACCACAAACACAGTGACGTGAGTTAACTCATCAAAACAAGAAAAATCACATTTGTCTATTTAAAGAAAACCGAAGCATATTTTTATGACCATTTGTAGTTTTTTCATTGTGACATTATTTTTCACATCCCCCAATTCGCATTAATGTGCTGCATTTTAATTTTTTATTAAAATCAGCATAGGTTAAAGGGAATAAATCTAATTATATCATGATGAGGGGCTTTGCATTACTGAACTCAAAATAAAGGAGATAAGTTAAAATAATACAGAAATTAAAATTAATTTTCTTCAAGCGTATCACTTTTTTCTTATATTATCATTAACTAAAACTAATTAAACCATAAAACTAAAACCACAAAAAGCATTACCTGAAATAAAATAAATATTAACTGAAGCATAAAATATAAATAAAAAAATGTACTTATTTTATTTCAGCTAGTTGCAAAAGCAACATTTCTCATTTTCATTTAGTTTACCTTGATGTACTAAAATAAAAAAATTAACTAAATAAATTAAAAACTAAAACTATAAAATCTGTATAAACTGTATAAAATGTATAAAAACTATACAGACATATTTCAAACAAAAATTTAACTAGAATAGAATAACTAGAATAGACTAAAATAAAATAAAAAATAGAATAACTAATAATTAAACTAATAAAAATGACAAAAATACAACAAATTGCTAAAACTTTAACTAAAATAAACATGTAAACAGAAGATATAAAAATAAAATCAAAATATACATAAAATATTATCATAATGATAGCAAAATAACACTGACTAAGTGAGATTCTGATGAATGCAATAATCAAGCCTGACTAAATATCATCATAATCCAACACAAACGCTGCATTTATGCTGATGTTTCATATTAATACAGTGTTGGAGTGACCCTGCGACCTACACTTGACCCTTTGACCCAGTTTCTGCGGCGACCTGCAGCTCTTTCAGTGTCCAGCAGTGGCGGCTCGTTGGGGGAGGCAGGGGAGGCACAGCTTCCCCATAATTTTGAGGTGAAAATGGGAGGAGGACGATTTAATGTTAATAAAATTCACAATTCATTTCAGTTCATGTCTCAGAATGTGTATTTTTTTGTTTGTAATTTCAGTTGTAATATCATAACGTGAAAGCGCCGCTTTTCTATCGCGAATGTGCCGAATCTGCTGATGTAATTACAACCGCTAGGTGATAGAGAAGGGGAGGGGGAGGCCGAGCGAGCGCTGAGCTCTCGTGCCTCCGTTGGTAAAAAAAATTAGCCAATCAGCATCGAGTGTTCACTTTCAGCGCTGAGGAGTGTTGAGAAAAGAACCCTTGCCGGGGAGGCTAGCCTCCTTCTGATATCAACCAATCATCAAAGAGACGTAAATTACGTGATA